CATTTGAACTCCCTGAGTGACTGTTGGTGACTGCCTCCTGGCTGTGACCAAATCATAGCTGGACCACCACGGCGCTCAACTGGCTCATTCCTTTCCTTTTGGGGTGGTGGACACAACAAATTCCATTTCTCAGTGAGGGAGATTCACCACGTGGAACAGTGCCTGCGCTAGAGCTGAACCTTGCAATTGCGGATCATTCATTGTGCCTCGGATTTCAGGTGCAAGCGGATCTGACCATTTCCACGGCCCCATCTTGCACTTGGAGGGCTGAGCAGTGTACAAAATACAATTCAAGCGTTCAGGCAGCATTCTGTGGGGTTGGCTCCCATTACATTCTGACTGGCCCAGCTGCCTTGGACATTGTTTATAATTTTCTGCTTTCTCGGGTTCAACTTTATCTGACAGGCTCATCAGTAATTTTCTCCTGCCCGCTCAGTACGACATTTCACAAACAGTTTCCTGGGTGGCGTTTTTGGTCTATTTTGACAATACCATTACTGCCATCACTGCAACAGCGAAATTCCCCACTGTGGTGGATTGAGGACCCTGGCATCAGACAACCTGCGTCCTGGACATATCCTCCTCAGGCTGCACTCTGTGGGGTAGGCTCCCTTTATTTACTGACTGGCCTTGCAGCTCTGGATTGCAGTTCACTTTGGCACTTCATTTGGACCCTAATTCAACGTTTGATCTTTGGGGTGGGCTCCCTTCTTTTCTGCACTGGCCCTTCTGATTTCAATATTCATTTGCTGCAACAAACGATTTACACCAGATCTGATTTCATTACCGAACAACAGTATTCCCAAGCTGCACACTGTGGGGTTGGCTCCCATTGTACACTGACTGGCCTTGCGGCTTGGGATACTACGAGGAGAATTCAACAGGGGGTCGGCTCCCCTTCCAATTTCTATTTCACTGGCCGATCGTGCAACCATTGGATTACACCCGGAATCTCTGGATTGGACATCCCAGCTGACTGTTCCAACAAGGATTTGACACTTCTGGATCCTGAGGATTCTTTATTCCTTTGGCAGACACAGGATACGACATTTACTGGTTGGGGTGGGCTCCCATTACTTGATTTTTCTGGCCCAACATATCCGTGATTTCTTTGCTGCTGACATTGTTTTACAGCGCTGGTACACTGGCTCTGATTGCTATTGGGTGGACCTGCTTGCGCTGCATTTCATTTTTCTGGCACCTGGATTATGCTTTCAATTCCACTATTGCCTTCGACAAACCTGCGCATTGCTGCCGTGGACCCTGACACAAGTGGCAAGTCTGGTCCCAAATCCAGACGTAGGATTGCTGATCCCAAGATTGGAGGGCTTTTATTCCTCCTCTGGACCTTTTTGACCATGACGCATTCCTACAGGGGCGAGGGTTGGAGTCCACCCATGGGGACTCCTGAAGTCCGACCTTGGACTTCACATGTACCAGAAGCTTGGACAAAGCAACATGGACAGCAGCCCACAATGAGCTTCGGCTCGACAGACAGGCTGGGAACCAATGTTAAGGAGAAGAAGATCACGCAGGTGGTCAAAAGAAGCATGAATCGCGCTTTCACACGTGCACAAGAACAAGGCTTTGCATGGTACCGAGGCCGCTGTTACAGCGCTACGGCCTTGGCAAACATGGGTTGTAAATCCACTTCCAGATCGACCACTGCCACCCAACCAAGGGACTTGACGCTCTGCAATCAGATCCACGCGCCAAAGCGTCGACTGACCACCTGGCAGTGGAACTGTGGAGGCCTCTCCAGTGCCAAACTGGATGAGTTGAAAGCATGGCTCTTCATCCAAAAGGTCGACCTTGCGGTGATCGTAGAAACGCGATGGTGTTACGATGGGGAGTGGCAAGACCCCCATTGGCATTGCCTGCACTCTGGAGAAGGTGCCCATCGGGGGAAGGGGATATTAATACTCATTTCCAAGCGCCTTGGTCCTGCCTCACAACTGAAGTGGCAATTCCATGCATCGGGCAGGCTGGTGCACTTGCGCCTCAATTGCAATCCAAGGCCGATTGACATCCTGGCTTGTTACCAACACACTTTTAATAGGACCACCACATGTATGAAAGCACGTGACACCTGGTGGACCCTCTTAAATAATGTGTTACATAGTCTCCCCCATAGACATAACCTTATTCTGTTAGGTGATTTCAACTGCAGTCTGTCTGAGCAGACCAATGCTGTAGGCAGTCCTACCTTTGTCTGGCGCCAAAGACGGATCTTTGGTACGTACCACAGTGACCATTCCCGATTCTTGCAAATACTACGCCAGCACGATCTCATTGCCCTGAATGCTGGCTCTGCCGCATTAGGTCCAACTTTTGTGCACGGTGACTGTGCCAGCAGACTGGACTACATTTGTGTCCGCCGCATGTTTGCTGACCAGGAGGCAAGAAGGGTTCAATATTTGTGGAACTCACCATTTATTGAGCAGACGTTTTTTGGCCACACACCCATTTTGTGCTCCATTGCCAGACACTGGATTCCAACTTACGACATGCATCGTTTCCAGAAAATCACTGCCCAGCAGAGAGAGCATAGCCGTCAGGCCTTCCTGACCCAGACGCCTGCATGGAGATCATTTGTGGAGACATCACAGGCCTTGATCCAATCGCACCTTGCAGACCCCACGCCCAACCAACAACCCATTGCCAAAATGCATGAAGCTGTTTTTGCACAGTTTTGCCAGAGTTTTCCAGCCGGAAAGGTGGAGGCCAGGGTTCAACCCTGGCAACAAAGCCTGCCGACCATGTTGAACAAGTGGGAGCACCGCAGATGCTTCCTCAGACTTGCCATTTGCAGCCCACGGAACATTTTTCGTGCCTGGTTTCATGTTGCCAAATTTTTGCATTTGAAACGCCTGCACCGCCGCCTGGCTGCTGAGATTCGTGACACCAGATTCCGGGAGGTTGTACACTCAGCCAACTGTGCAGCGGAAAGACATGACACCCACAAGCTGTTCCATATCATTAATGCACATGCACCCAAGCAGCAACGCAGGCAAATCCAGTTAAGGCATCCCAATGGACACATGGTCACACCCGTTGAATGCATGGCTTTACTTAATAAGTTTGTCATGGATACTTGGATAGGCCCCCCAAAAATTGCCATGGATTTTACCAGCCCTCCAGGTGTTCCCTTCACCGTTTTGCAGCTTGAGAGAGCACTGGCAGCCATACCTGCGGGAAAGGCGGTAGCCAAGCCGTTTGCCCCGGCCGTGGTGTGGAAGCAACATGCGCAGTTTCTTGCCCCCATTTTGCATTCCATTCTTGGTCATTGGTGGTCAACCTCTCCCCCATATATACCTGATGAATGGCGTAATGGATGGCTAGTCCTTATCCCTAAACCATTTAAGCCAGCTTCTTGCCCCCAAAATCTTCGGCCTCTGGCCCTCCAAGAACCTCTTGGTAAGGCCATCATAGGGCTGCTGATTCGAACTGCGATGCAACAGGCCACACCATGCATCACCTGCTGGCCGATTTGGGCCTTCCTGGATCAAAGATCCACCAATGATGCAATTTGTAGAGTTGCTCGCCATTGCCGGCTGGTCAGGGAAATGATAGGAACACGCAGATCCACGCCTCACTCCAGAGCTCATGATACCCCCAAATTTCATGTTTACGGTGGGCTCCAGGCATGTGTAGATCTTCAGCGTGCTTTTGATTGTGTGAATAGAGCCAAACTATTTACCAGACTCTGGCAGTTGAACATTGAGGAATCCATCATCCAGCTCTTGACAGCCTGGCATCAGGATACACAATACATTGTACAGCATGATCTTTGCGACAGCCCCATTTGCATTGGCCGTGGTGTACGCCAGGGCTGCAAGGCGGCACCTGGATTATGGACATTCTTCATGGTGCTTTTCCTTCATGATTTAATGGCTTTTCTCCCCATGTCCTGGATATGTGACCACCTGAACATTTACGCAGACGATCTTCATGTTGGAGCTGTGTTCACATGCTTGGAAGATTTTGAGAAAACCCGTTTTGCCATTGGGATCATGTTTCAAACTCTTGCTTCGCTTGATATGATCATCAACCCCCAAAAATCGGTTGTCATCATGAAGGTTAAAGGACCCGGCAGCAAACCCCTGTTGCAACGTTGCGTTGGCTCTGACCAGAATGGCAAGTTTCTAAAAATTGAGCTGCCCCATGATGTCATGTTTTGTGTTCCCATCCAGCAGAAAACCAAGTATCTTGGAATCATCATTTCCTATGATAATTTTGAGATGGAAAGTTTGCGACATCGGCTCACATTGATGCATGTTGGATTTCAACGTTTGAAGCGATGGCTCACGGGACGACACAGTCTGTCCCTGAAGCGCCGGGTCCAACTCTGGAAGACATGCGTGTATCCCATCCTGAGCTACGGCATTTGTGCAACTGGCATCACTCATGTTGGCATACGCCTGGCAATTACACAAATGACCAAAACGCTACGCATGATTTTTCAGGACCATTCATATGTGACCCATAGAACGCATCAACAGGTTTTCCATCGACACCAAGTAGCTTCCCCGGCCGACCTCCTGCATGATACTGTGACGAGCCTTCTTGCATCGATCACTCAAAGATATGCTGGGGTTGACCAACATGACCTTGTTCGAACCATTTCCTGGGACCACTTGCATGACATTTTAACACAGCTGCAGGCAATCCGGAACAGCAGCCGTGCCCCAGTGCATCCGACTCCAGCTGACTGGCCTGAGGCCGGCTCAACACCATGCTTTAGTTGCACCATATGTGAGTTTCAGACCCCACACGCCAGTGTGTTTCGTCGGCATTGCACCACTTCCCATGGCATTAGCACTTTCCGAACTCAACCTGCATTGGCTGCGTCATATGCTGTCGATGGGCTCCCTGAATGTAAATTTTGTGGCATGATTTTCACAACTTGGCGCACATTCCAACATCATATCGAGCGTGGATGCCAGGCCCTACTTTGTGGTCCAGCACAGTGCACTGCCAACCTACGTGGACTCACCCCCATGATGCCTGGGGATCGCTCCCGCCCACATGCCTCAGACCTTGGCATGCGAGGAGCTAGGATGCTGACTCCCACAGAATTGGAACATCTGAAGACCTTGAACTTCGGCCTCAGATTGCTCAGAGTGATCAAGCGCAAAGAGTGGCACACAGTTGCTGATGATGCTGACGCTTGCGCATATCTGAGGACTAGATGCGTCCTCTGTGCTCAGCATTTTTCCAGGATCCAAGATTTGCAGCAGCACTATCGCCAGCAACACTCAGACCTTGGGAACATGTGCCATTGAAGGCACAGCAGCTCACCAACCTCTACAGCAGTGATCCGCCTTGTGGGGTTTGTGGGGCGCTGTTCCGCACCCACACTTGCCCAGTCTGGACGCAGATAGCGATGTTGTTGGTCAATGGAGCCAGTCTTGATTCAGATGAACCAGACCTTGAGACGCGATGCCGTTGTGACATTTGTGGAGAATGTTTTGAAACCCCTGCCATTCTCACCCAGCACCTTCAACAGTTGCATGGTCTACATGGGATGACATTCAATGCCAGCAGAGATGCCATTGACAACAGTGCGGCCTGCGCACATTGCGGCCAAACCTTCACCGCAATGAGTAGCTTGAAGACTCACATAGTCCAGGGCAAATGTGTGCACTTCAACCCTATGGCTAGTGCAGAAACCAAGCCGGTGGAGGAACTCTGGCAGGCAGCGTGCCTTCGGGGGCAACTCTATGAAGTTCTCACGCCAGCTCACAACAGACTACGCCTGACTCTTCATTGCCAATGCTGCCCTCGCATTTTCATGCGAGCCAATGACCTAGCGCTGCACTTACAAAGTGCACACTCCAGACTTTGGAGAAGGGCGCAAAGATTGACCTTGCTGCTTGTTGACACCTTCTACAGCCAGAATGCATGCTGCTGCAACCCCTCTACAGGGATCAAACGTGGCAACCACGTCTGTCTCCCCCTGAGACAGATTGCAATGGCGTTTCATCGACTTCAACAAGAACCCTTTGCACCGACCATGATTGGGGAACGACGACTGCATGCCACCCTGTCATCAAAGCTCCCAGCGGCGCAGCGCTTCCTGTTGGAGCAACTGCTCACCAATGGCCAATTGCAGGCCCTGTGGACTGAAGAAGGAGCCCTACAGATCCTGCGATCATGCTGCCTATACTGTGGTGTGAGTCTTGCACCAGCTGACCTGTGTGTGCATCTACGTGAGGAGCACCAATGCCACCGTGAGTTGTTCATGTTTTACCTTGACCAATTGCATGATGTTGTGCTTGAAGTGACACCTGATATCTATCAATGTCCACTCTGCACTCAGATCTTCAATTTGCCATGGATACACAAACCTGACGAACCTGCAGATGACCGCATGGCCCTGGCTCAGTCACATTTGCGTGGCCATTGCCCGGTTCTTGTCAATCTTGCTTTGCTGTTCTCCTACCTGTTTCATGGAGAATGGAACGCATGCTCCAGAAATGCCGGCCCCGGAAGCCTCTCAGCAGATCCTGGATGCGTTCAGCAACCTGGCGCCCCTTTTTCGCGACAACACCCTGATGCTGGAGCCCAACCCACGGGACACCAAGACACGTCGCAGGGACCCGCCACAAAAGCCAGACGACCAGCCCAAAAACAGAGGCACAGGGCCACGGGAGACCACGGAGCACAACAAGCTCCTCCTGGCTCTAGCCCACCTGGCCATCAAGCAAGATCAAGAACTCCAAAGCATGCGCAAACAGGATCAATTCATTCTTTTTTTGAGCAGCGAAGCCACCGGAGCTTTTCACCTGATGCTCCAAGAGACAGCCAATTGGAAGAAGCTGATGGACAACCCCAACCCGGGGCAACAACCGCTGAGACTGCACCTGATCCTATGCCTTGTGAAATCTCTTCGACAGCGGGCGGAACAGATTGTCAACGCGCAGGACACGGATCAGCTCTTCCAGCTGTCACTCCAGAAGGGATTGATCCTGCAAGATCGCAGTTTCCCATATCACAGGTGGGATCCGAACACCCAAAAGCTGATCCTGGACAAGAAAACGCCGGTCAGTGCCAAGCTGATGGGCCAACAATTGGAGGAGATATTGGAACTGCTCCTGGATCCACAGTTGGTGATACGCTTCCATGCCCTGAAGGCACCCCAGCAGAACCTGACCTCCATCCCGTGGCGCCTGCAGTTGAATGTCAGACACGACAGGGCCTACGAGATCTTCCAACATCTCTCCTTCAATGCGGTTTGGATGGTGGTGGGAGCCTCGATGAAGCCACACAGCCTGGGCCAGAGCAGCCAAGCCACACAAATCCAGAATCTCTTGACGGGCAACCAGAAGCCGGGCAAGGGCAAAGGCAAAGCCTCTCACCGCCCACGGCAACATTGATCGATCCACGACTTCAGCTCTCCCTGGTGCTATGTCGATTGATCATGAACAATGACAGCACATGGTGCTATGCCAATTGCACCGTGTTTTGCTTGATGTGGACCTGGCTTTGTGCGCCCTCCTCCGCTGACCTTTGGGGATGCCGTTTTGCTGAGCTCTTGCAATACTTTTGCCAGCTTGGCTCACGGTGGGTTGTTTTAGCTGAAGCACCATGGTTTCAGCAAATCCTTAGGGCTTGGGGCCCAGCACATGGACAAAATGACAGTGCTGAATTTACCCAAGCTGTCCTGGCTTGGCTTGGCATGCGGTCGTTTGACATGCGCTGGGAAAGAAGGGTTCTGATTGGCACCACGACGCAAGTATTTGATTCAAGTTGTGGACATGCACCCATCATTCTCACCATCACGCCTTCCATGCATGACAGTGGCATATGCAATCTCACACAAATGCTACAGAACTGGTGTCAGGAGACCTCCATGACAGCGGCGCTCCTCGAGGCACCTTCTTGCCTTGTGCTACAAATTGACAGGCTGTTTCGGGATGCCACGGGCACGATCCAGAAGAGCATGAGCACTGTGTCCCTGGAAGCGGAAGTGCAGATCCCAGTTTTTCAGGTGCACACTCCTCAATTTGACCATGTTGCATACACACCAGTTGCAGGCATCACCCATTTTGGTGCTGATTTGGCGGGCCATTGTCAGGCCATCCTGAAACTGCAACCAGGAACCCTGAATGAGATCACGCCGATCTCGTGGCTCATCACTGAGGATGCACGTGCACCAGAACCCATCTGGCGCATCCCAGACCTTTTTGCGCAGAATATCACAGTGATCTGGCTTGTACGATCCGACATCCTTGCCATGCCTGTATACCATCCAACAGAGCCTGCGGTGACCAACGACATGCAACCGCATGGCAATCTGATGAATCTGCTGCAAGCACAAGAAGGCATTGACTAACTGAGAGACAGCGATCATGTTTTTGCACTTTTGATTTTCCTGACTTTTCACCATTTTCTCCATTTGGTTTCAGCAGCCTATTTGTTTCCGTAAGAGATGGAACCGACGACAAATGAATCGTCGCTGGCTGGCACAGACCTTGAGCAGGCATAAAAGGTGTGTAGGAAAAAAAAAAGAAAAACACACACACACACCCTTTTTATCATTTTTTTTATTTCGATTCCCTTGTTGTGTTGGTTCTGCCCAGGCGGTTGCAAACGATCAGGCTCTAATTCATTCACCCGCCTGAAATAATGCTTTTCGGGTCTCTTCGCCATAGTTGGCTTGGTGGCTACAATAAGTTGGGTCTATGTACATCTATTGGACCCCTCTGAAATGAAACCAATACTGAATTGGGTTTGGTATGGTTTGGTCGTTTTGATCTCGTTATGATGTGCTCGGCTAAGCCGAATGTAGTATCATGCACATTTTGGTTCAAGGCTCATGACACCTACCCAGCGGCAAAAGAAAGTCTGTGAGTATGCTCTGTGCTTGGGCTTAGCAACGAACAAGCCGAGCTCGGCTGGCAGAACTCCATGGTCAACCTCAGGTAAACCTTTAAAAGAATCCTCGGCAAGATATGCCGCAGTATCCCTGCATGTTCCTACACAACATAGCTTAAACATCAACCAATAAAAGTTCAGTCATGGTTAATCTTAGATAACCTGCAAAAAATCTGTTGCAGAAACCCAAATTTTGACAGACTTCGGTGATGTTGGGTGTCTTGCTCATGTCTTGGTGGTGTCCGGGTGGTGTCTTGGCGGTGTCCGGGGTGGTGGCTTCGTGGTATTGCTGGAATGGTATAGATATGTTTGATGAAACTGGCTCGCCTGTCAATACCAAATTGGTGTCAAACCTTTGCTATTGGGTTTGTATGCTGACATATGCTGACTTAATTTCCATGGACATTTTTTGGTGTGACTTTTTGCTTTGTATTTCTCGCATTAGTACATCTAGCTTACCCAGTTTCACCTACGCTTCACCAGCTAGTGTCCCCAGGTGTCTCGGCTATGCCCCATGTCATGGTGCTTGTTTCAACCCAGTTTTGTGGGTGAATCGGCCATGGTTCTGGTTGTTTGTCCAACCATTCATCATGATTTGCCCAGATATTTGCCAACTTGCTGGTAGGATCCATATGTTTTTTTCTGCTTATATAAATCATATACTAAAATTAAATCATATAAAAAATATATGATCAAATCTGAAATCCACTCTGAAGCCAAAATGCTAGCAATTCACCATCCGCGGTCATGGCCCATCTCAGCCCTGCACGGAATGCTGAAGTTCTTCAGCTTCTTGGCGACCCATGGCCACCAGCTTCCGCAGATCCGTCAGCCACCCAAGCCTACAGTGCCAGGACCACGACAGTGGCAGAATTCTCCGACTGAAACACCTTGTCTCTTTAGACGACAATGTGATAATGTGGTTTTAAACTGTTTTTCAGCATTTCCAAGTTGTTTTTTCGAGGTCGTTGGTGGGCTTTTCATTGGCTTGGATGTATAAATTCTTGGTACCTACCAGTTGCTCATTTCTTCACAAACTTGTGGAGAGCAAACAAGTTTGGTCACTTCATGGGTGCCCACGGATATCTTACAAACACACACACACTTTCACAGTCTTTCAGCAAGATTGATCATGACATATCATGACGAAAAAACGATGCAAGTTTCATTGATCCCTTTATCTGACTTTCTCCAAGATGTAGCCAGAGTTTGAGCATGTCACATGCTGTCACGGTGGACTCCCCATGGATGCCTCTCTGCTAAGGATTCAATGCCTGCATCGCAATCGCCTCGACCAGGCTGACAGGAACCGGGGACCAACACCTCTTGCTACCCTCGGATTCACATGGTACACCCATGAATGATGGGTATCTTATGTATCTTGAGAGTCAAACGGTTCATGTTAGGACTCGCAAGAGGCGATGGACAGACCATCCAACGTCGTACGAGGCCCAGGAATCCCACCTTGATAGAACACGTCCTGGCAGTCACCTGGCTCGAGGTTGGGGCCTTGTTTCATCTTATTTCTCCATTGGACATGGAGTCACTCAGGGCCCTACGCCTTGAACAATTGTACGGGATGGGAAAGAAGACCATAATATAACATCTACGACATGGTATCGGATCCATGTTCAAATGAGTTGCGCCATCGATTCTAGCTGAAATGTGCTGAAATCAATGAAACAGGGCTCGCTATTCTTGAAAAATAGCAAGTTTCCTTTTTTTGAGTTCGTGAAGCCAAAATTTGGGTCCCGAAAGACATACGTAGACTAAAATACATAGATGGCACACAAAACTCACTGATGGGGGTTGAGCCATCTACATCAGCGTTTTCTCGTTTCAGACCATGAATTTCGGGTCAGGAGTATAAGGCGCAACTCAAAAATCGGTGCCATCCACTCTCACCCCGGAGTAGTATATTTTGTCACGAAAAAAAACGGCCAGTAGATTTTGGAAAGCACTCTTTATCTTTTGTGTGCGAGGTTTGGTGAAAGTTGGCATTTTCCAGGGAAGTCTGGACTGCTCAAATCGTGTAACAAGGAACCCAGCTGGGAAATCAAACATCCAAAGAAGAACCCTCACCAAAACACAGTGATCGGAAGAGATCAACATGGTCCGACCACATTCTTTTGTATTTTGGGGAAGCTACAGTATGCTACAGCATCATCAGGAATTTCATGGAATTTCCCAATCTCAAGATGTCGGAGTTCAAAATGCTTCACACAGCTGCCATGGATGGCAACCACGAACCCCAAATCTGGCTGAGCTCTGAATCACGGAACATGATCCTGGCGATTTCTTTTCCCCCGTCAGTGATTTTCAGACAATTGAGGGATTTAACATGATTCAACGTTTTTTAACCACGCATATCCAGGATCCACAAATCCCATTCACCTGCTTGGGCGACTTAAAATTCTCTAGCCATCACCCAGCCATTCCAAGCCCTGCGCTGTCGAATTGGTCGAAGTTGAAACCATTTGCCAACTCTTCGCCTCACGACACAAAAAACGATCCGATACATGGATTCTATCATCTATGGATCTATAATGATCATTAATGATCTATATCTATATCAATATACATCCATCCATCTATCCAAATTTCCATACAGTAATACAGAACAGTATATTTTCCCTCAGAAGTCACGTCGTGAGTCAATTTGAGGACATACTGAGCGGTCGTGCTAAGTCATCCCTGCCCGTTCAAAGCCACCATCGTGCACGGGCACAACCAATCAGGGAAAAGTCAGCCATATCTGCAAAAAACTACCCTTGAAGAATGAACTCTGGTTGGGCACATGGTTTATGCATACATTCTATCACAAATATGTTTTGGAACTATTTGTTCGCGCACACACACACACAGGTCAAACCACATATCTCCTTTGCTTTCAATTGGTGTTTGGGCAAAGAAACATAAGCCCTACCTGTGGGTAGCAATAGTACATCTACCAGGGTATCAAAATTTTATACCAAGGTACCTCAATGGCTTGCATGCAGAAAATTTGTGGATCAAATAATTGCCAGGTTTGCTATCAGCTCTCACTGTTTGAGGGCCTGGGAACCACAAATGGACGGTTGTCACTCAAGGATCTAGGACAATCCAGTTTTCAGGTACCAGTACCCAATGTCTCAAACTCACATGATGCCCAAAACTATCTAAGATCAATTTAAGATGCAGAATTTCCGGAGTTCTGTGTGTGATCACTCTTGATGGTCGTACTTCCTAGTTCAGATGCATACGCATATGTCATTGCAAGTCCCATCCTGCCAATTCCAGGCAATTTTTTGGATGCTTCCCTAAGACCAACTACTTTTGTGTCTGGTCTGGTGATGGCTGGTGGCATCTGAGTTATCCTGAGGCTCTGGCACGAGCCAACTGCTTCTCGATTGATCAACAGCCTAAATGCCACCGAGGCACCATGAGGCACAAAATGGGTGTCCCCAAATGTGGCGTACTTTCAGTCATACTTCAAAATTGCGCCTTTTACTGGTGAAATATTGATAAATGAATGGAAGTTGTGGAGAAAATGCGTATACATTTGGTGGTACACGCCGCGAAATCGGGATATCTGATATGGAGTATTGTGCTTCAACTGGGTCCTGGCGGGTGGGACGAAATCGGAAAGGCACAAAGCCGTCCTCCATTGCGGTATGTCTTATTTGCTGTATATATATATATATGTTAGTTCGGCTGTAGACTGGTCGGAAGCTGCTACTAGCTACTCGCTTAACGAGTAGCCATCAGAAGACCACCTTCCTTCGCGGCCTAAGAAAGGCCATGCGGGCCATGCCTAAGGATCCTAAGGATCTAGACCCACAGGCTTGACTCACACGCTGTGCGCCGGCAGGCTGCCAGGGTGGCAGGAAGAACCGCTGCCAGTCAGCAACATGGAAAAAGAAAGAGGTTGACCGTCAACATCAAATAAATGAATTGTACAGGAAAGATGGTCACAGTCAGCAATGGCGAGAGTAACCCGCACGTGCAGAAAAGGAAAAACCATCGACACGGCCAAAATGAAGGAAAACTGGGCCAGAGGATGGTACAAAGGAAAAACTATGAAGCAGCTAGCCCGGCTCTCACGTGACGTCTGGGACGGATTCCAGCAACACGGCCGATGCCCGCACAGGGTGCTGAGAGAAGGTCACGAGTTCCGAACGGCGGCGCAGGGCCGCACGAGCCCGGAAGCTGCGCAGGAGGACGCTGCACTCTTGGAGCATGACGGTGTACACCGAGGAGCCCACCTGACCTTCACGGGCCGCAACTGCCGAGGCGATGACCCGAAGTGTGCGGCTGGCGGCGGTGTCCCATGCACCCGTGGATTCTGATACCAACGGAAGGAATCGAACTCCTTGGTCGGCACAAAGTTGGGCCGTGTGCTGGTGGTTGCACTTCACTTGGGCATAAGCAGCCGCCGCGCTGACAGGTACTTGTGCTGCTTGGGGCAAAGACTCCGGCCGCTGAAGGCCTGTGACGGCAAAGTCAAGTGCAGTCGGAGTCCCATCCAAGCATGGCAAGTAGATGTCAGCAGGACGTCTGCGAGCCACCTTAGCTTCTTCAGGTCGCTGGGGTAAAAGCAAGCCCGGGCGCTCTTTCTCTGGGTGGAGCCCTGCCCGTTCAGCCCAAGAACAAACCAGGTCCCGAAGCGCGTTGTGTCTCTGAGTGCGCTCCCCTCCTGCCGAGCAAACAGCGGCATGGTGGGAGTAGGCATCTAAGATCCCATCGCAGCGGGGACACCATGTGTCCGCCACGGCATCAGGCAAGCCCATGCGGAGGCGCACCTCGGCGATGAAAGCAGCTGGCTCCATGCAGCACCGCCCGCCCGGCACTGCAGCAAGGAACGCTCGTGCACCTGGCTGTGACTCGGACAGCAGCATGGCCTTGGCAGCGGGAGTGCTGGCGGCCAACTGCCTGTGCCAGCTATGGCTGTCGAGGAGTTGTGTCAAACTCTTTTGCCTCTGCCGGAGCACTTCGCCCAACTGGAGTTGCTTGTCCACATGGGTGTTGAAAAGAAGCAGGGCCTGGGTGACGTCGGGGGCATTGGTCGCATCGGTATGGTCAAAGGCCGGGTCCAAGTCAGAGCAGCGATCCAAGCAGCCTCCAAGGGAGGCGAGGTAAGCTGCCGGTGCATCCAGCACGGCCGAGCGAAGGGCCAAACCTCCATGGTCAAAGCCTCGGACTGCTTGGGCCCACTGTGCGTGGTTGAGGTGCATGCCGGTGAAAGAAGCCAAGCAATGTCGAGCCTGCACATCAAATTGGAGCAGGGCAGACTGTTGGGCTGAGGGCGGGACGCACCGCATGCTATGCATCAGTCGCGCATGCCCGCCACAAGAGCGGAGCAGGCGGAGGGCGACCTGAGGATCCTCAAGCCGGCCGATTGCATCCAACAAGGCAGTTGCTTTGGCCACCCGCTTGGTTGTCGCTGCCGTCACGTGGTCGGCATCGCCCAAGGCCGCCCCCAGCAACTCGAAGTTGCGAAGGATGCGTGGGGAACCATCGGCATTGAGCAGCAGCTGGCTTGGGAAGAGGGCGGCAAGAGGCACATCCGGTGTCTGCCCTGCAGCGATGACTTCGCACTTGGCGAGGTTGAGCGTCAGCCCTAAGTCCTGGGCCCTCGTCTGAACATGGGACAAGGCCGCCGCGACTGAAGCGGAAGACCCGGCCAAAACGCCATCATCCAAGTAGAAGGTGGCAAAGTCCAGCGGGCCATGCCGCAATTCCTCCGCCAGCGGCTGCAAGGCAGCGGCGAAAAGAAGGGGGCCCAGAGGGTCACCCTGCTGGACGCCACTTGCAGAGTCCAAAGTGGAAGTGCCAAACCTCAGAAAAGATGTGTCTTGGTAGCACCAGGTGGTCCACCGAGCGAGGGCCGGAAAGTGGACCGGGCACTCCGCCAAGAACTTGTCACGGGAGAGGACGTTGAAGGCATTCTGGAAGTCAAGCTTGCAAAGGACCTTGTCCGTGGAGTGCTTGTGGCGGTGCAGCCACGCCCGGACTGTGTGGAGCACGCATTCCGCGCCCGCAGGGACAGCCACTCCAACCTGCGCCGGCCAGAAATAGGACCGGGCATCCTGCTGCACCATGCTCATCAAGCACTTCCCGACGAGACGTCGGAGCGACTCTCCGATGGCAATGGGGCGAATGCCGCCTTGTGGCTTTGGGATGGCAACCAACTTGGCCCCATCAACAAAAGGAGCGGCAGTCCGGCAAGCACCGCCACGCGCCAGCAGATTGACCACAGCAGTGAGCTGATCCAAGAAGCCATGCTCCGAGCCGGGCGGACAGGCCTCAAGCAGGTGCTGCGGACGAAGTCCGGAGGGGCCAGGAGCCGAGCCGGCAGGGAAGCTTTTAAGTGCTCGGGCCACGGTCTCCACAGCTATTTCGGGAGGAGGGGGCAAGTCGGAGAGCTGAACGGCCGCTGGTGGAGGCTGGATAGGGTGCAGCGCTTTGAGCTCCTGGACTGTCTCGGCCGTTTCAGGGGCTAACCCGGAGGAAAGCAAGGCTGCACATGCCTTTTTGTCAAGGCCTTCACGGGCCAAGGCGGTGGCAAAGTCACGCCGGCCGCCGTCGGACATCTCGCGCTGGCCCAGGGGAGGGGGAGAGGGGCGGCTGTCCCAAAGTGAAGCCCGTTCTCCTTCCAGCCAACGGTTCAGCCGGTCGATGGTGTAGGCAGCCGTCGCTCGCCGATGTCGCCGCCCGCCCCGAGGAGGAGCGCACAAGACACAAGCAGGAAGCATGAGGAATTCTTTCCAGGCAAGGTCATCATTGTAGTGCACCATGGCCGCGAGGGTGCGTGTGAGCACTTGGGTCCAAAGGTGCCGAGCTGCATGGGGGATGTGTCGCAGTGTGGCCTGCCCGGCAGCTTGAAGTTCGGGAAAAGACGGCAGCTGGGAACCCGGGTCGTTGCGGCCATTCCCACCGGCAGCAGCTCCGGCCCTGGCTGCGGGTCGGCAGCTGGGATGGATGCCATAGCGTGTGGAGACGCTCAGCCCGCACACTGCGCACCGCTGGCGCGCGTTGGCCTGGAGCCAGTCTGCAGGCACCTCACCACCAAGTGTCCCAGCAAGGTGGGCATCGATATGGCCTTGCATTGTGGTGGTGCTGACCCATCCCGCCGCTCTGGCGCGGTCAGCACAAGGGCACCCACGAACGGGGCAAAACACCCGAGGGACGGCCCCCTGGTCCACATCCATTGCCATGGTGCTTGGGGGGGGAGGAGGGCTGGCCCCGACCTGAAGATGCGGTGGAGGAGGACCCCCCACCGCCTGAAGTAGAAGAACTAGGCAAGGGCCAGCCGCCCCCCGCGCCCCCACGGCGAGGACGAAGAGAGTAGGTGAATTGCCAGTCAATCCAACCCAATTAATATGGGTCTTGAGCCAGGGATATGTATATGTATTTTATTATATATATATATATATATATCTGTCTATATATACATATGATTGCATATGTACATTTATACATAGTCCTATATAATTATATAAAATCACACACACACATACGTAAATTTTTATATATACATACGTACATACGTACGTACATACGTACATACATACGTAATCATACGTACATACATACGTACATACATGCGTACATTCATTCTTTCATCCATTCGTACATACGTACCATTACATTACATTACATTACCTTACCTTACCTTATATTACATTACATTACATTACATTACATTACATACAATTATATACGCAAAATGCGCAAATTGCGGGTGTTGTTTGCTCTCAACATGGTCAACGTCCAGCCGCAATTTGCCAGCCGTGCCTTGGAACATGCTCCGGCGTGAGGCTCAGCAGTGTGTTGAAGGGTGACACCTGCAATGAGGTACCCATGACCTGCGCGCGCAGTGACAGATGATCAACAATTTTTTTGACCAACCACTGGACAGTAAAATCATCGGCAAGAAAATCAGATAGGGATCCCAAATGTTACATATATATATATATATGTAAATATATCTATAATTCTATACATATGTATGGCATGTAATTCCCAAAGTGGATTTTTTTTTTTGGTGTTCCCCAGGATCATTGGCTCTGATCTTGCAAGTCTGCCTTCACCAACTAGCCCAATGAATCTCAATGATAAGCCTCCACGTCAACGTCAGGATGGAGCATACAAGCCATTTCTGATCATATTGAGGATATGATATTGGTGGGCTTCATTAGGGATATGATACTGTTGGGCTTACCACATTGCCACTTCTCTCCCTTCTCTCAGGTGCAGGTCCACTTTGGGCAGAAAACCCTGGTGCCATGGTCATATATGCAAGTGTGGGATATAGCTTAAGTTGGAAAAACAGCACTCCCTCAGTCACAGAGTCAAACATTTTCTGCCTTGACTTCGTCTGAAGATTCTATAGGTTTGTGAAAGGTTGCATTTCAACACTGAGTTCTGAAGACGCAATGTCAACAGTTGGCTCCGCAGATTATATGATGACATAATGTATTTTTTCTTGCTATGTTGTGTGCATCACAAGATCTTCAACCCCCCCGAAGCATAATTAATGAGATAAATTGGAAGGACATTGAATCACTGGGCAAATCAAAGCAGGACACTCATGAAGAACAAAGCATACGTGAAACCAAACTTGAAGCATATACTGCACGAAGCCCCACCTACATGGATTTCCAAGTTGCAGATTTCAGAACCAAGGAACCCCAGTCACAAGCCATGCATCCCACCAGGAAGCCCGACAATCAGCAGATCACACTTCGCCAGGTCCGCCTTTTGCAGCTGAAAGAAGCGTTCTGGAAGGTCTTCGCCTCGGTCAACACCAGACTCCGCAACGTGTTTTTACGCTGCGGGTCATGGAACAAAACATCAAACGAACTTGCAAATGACAGGAAACCATAGGAAACCAGGAAACCGAGATGGGCAAATAGCATCAAATAGCAACTGAGCAAAATGGCCCACGTTCAGTTTTTGGCCAAACTCTGGGTGAAATCTGGAGAATCTATGAGTCATTTATCCCAGGTGCCTTGAGGCCCTTGATTTCTTGTGCCCAGAAACCGATGGCTTTCCCAAGATGAATCCTCTATGCGAACCATTTTTTTGGGGGAAAATGGTCTGGACCCACGCCCCCTTTCACCTCGGCTTGTATATATGGGCATGATTTCAACCACAAAATTTTTGGGGATGAATATCCAGAACTACATGCCATTATGGTGTTATAAGAATTATTGAAGACCAGAACGCGTCTTTCATATTCGATCCTGATCATCATTCCAGGTAAGAAATGGAACATGGCTTCAACCTCGAAGTGGTGTTGTTTAGGGCTGGTGAACAACTCACGCTAGGAATTCAACTGCGATAGAGTTTGAAACAATTCCATAAATCGGAGGGAAATCCGACCGGGACTTTAGCTTGCAGCCAATGCGGAGCCACAAGCTCTGAAGTATCAAACTGATGGAAGTAGCATTATCTAGCGCCACATAATCAACACATAATTGTAGAGTTGACAATGTTGAGTCTTACACAAATACCCATGGAAACCGTGCTACTACGAGCCACATTTACACCATGTAATCTCCCCTGATCTTTATGCATGGGACTAGGTCAAACGCGGGTACGATGGTGAATGCTATGCACAACAATGACAATAAAAAAAGCCTGCCACGCCTGACAAGAACAATAGGCCCTACAGGGCACATATATCGTATATCCTCTTAGACAAAAGATCTCCTTCCAGTCAATTCCAATCACAGTCATAGTAAACCCAAATCATCCAAAAGCAACATACCTCTGGTATCCCCTTGTAAGTTCAGTTGTTGAAGTCAAGTGCTTCTTGCAGCACTTTCTGGTTAACGTTGCTACCCCACTCCATGAGCTTCCCGGCCAAAGAAAACGATCTTAGGCTTCACCAACCCACCATGATATTCGCGCAGTTCCTGTCAGACCACATCAGCGACTACTTGGGTCGTCCCTACTTAGACGAACCAACTCTGCAAAGCGTGGCAAATTTGAAGTGCCATGAAAATTTAAAATCATGTAGATGTTCAATTTTTGGAAACCAATGCATCCATACTTTCATGGTGTATCTAGCCATGTGGTCATCGCTGCAGCCGCACCTGCCATCCCTCGTCACCAGGATCATGTAACGCATCTTGCAACTCCTGCAGCGCAGGCGACCATCCAGGGATCTGTGGCCGCCCCAAAATATCGGCCAATCAGGGTGCCATGTCCAACGGTGACATTGGAATTTGAGTGAAATGAATAATAAAAAATCAGGGATCCATTCGAAGTGTTACATGCGATACAAAAAAACACTTTTGAATCTGAGTGCGATATCGAAACACCGATGTTTTTTTGGTTGGGACATAGATGGCTGACCAATGACGACACCGCCAAGTCAATCATCTTCCCAAGTTCCGCATGGAACAATAGATATGCCATTTCTACCTGAATTTTAGCGCCATGGATACTAAAGTAACCATGGATACCACACACTTTTCTGAAAGATGTGCAGTTTCTCAAATGATATCAGTTGTGTTCCCATGTTTCATTGGCACCCACAAAGAATAATTTTGACTGTGACCAACCCACATGCCCACCTTTAGCTATACTCACCACCTATGACTCCTCCTGCGGATGCCAGGTGCTCTACAGAATGATGACCTATCACTACCATTCCTGACCGTCTAAATTGAAGGCATTTCCCAAAAACGGTACAGTCCTTGAGACTTACATCCGGCAAACAGTGACAGTTCTGACATCATTGTTTTGTTGGGGACTCCTTGGCTTCTGTTGGTTGTGAGTTCTTCCAACTCCATGCGCATGTTGTAAATGATACTGTCATTTCAATTTATAATAGTATCTCATTTTGGCCCAAAAACGGGGGGAACACTGGGTACCAGAGTATGTATGTATGTACATAACAACCCCCAACAGATAGAAAAGTAAAGTCCGACTAAAACCATGAGACATTGACTTCCTACTTTTATGAAAGTTATTCTATATCATTCGCTGTTTAAAACTGCTGTCATCACATGTTGGAATCATGATTAGACATCCAATGATAATTATGCATCGAACAAATGATGTATAATAAGAAAACATATCATTAGTAAAAAATGTATATCCTATCTTATAACGATATATATATATATATATATTGATGGTATGTACAATAGTAATAACTAATATATCGACTAATAAGATATCAGAAAATATCAGTATATCTATACCCATGTATCTATAACTATATCTATACAGTAATATATATATATAATACATACACATACACACCAAATGATGTTTGAAAGCTGGAACCATCACTTTATCCTTCCCTCCGCTCTCCGTGATGTCCACGTCATAGCTGGAGGCCAGACCCACGTTGTCATCCACCACGTGTGCCGCGTCGAAGTTGCCATGGGCAGCCACCAGGAGGTCAAAGGGGATGCCGGCCTGGGCCACGAACCTACCATGCTAGGGGTTGTATATATATATATATACATATGGGTAAATTCTAATGTGTCACAAACCTGAAATAAGATGACATAAGGCCTTTCGGAGATAGTTTCCCACCATCATTCCAGTGAGGTCACAGTGGATCGTTGTAATCTACCCAGATATATGTATATTATGTATATATATATATTTTTTTTACAATTAATCCCAGCAATGGATGATCAGCATTGATGAGCTGGGGGCTGGACGGGTTTTGGGGGAACTTGTGGTCCCCGAATCTACTGAATGGTAAAAGAATTGAACATGTACCAATGGAAACTTACCCACTGCGTGTGAACAAGGGATGATGGCTCCTTCAGATAACAATGATCCGTGGCATCTGCAAAAAAGACACTACCAAGTTTGGGACAATTATGGGTAGACATACCAGCACCAGAATTGTTTATGTAAGTGTAAGGAGTGTAAGGAAAAGAATACAGGAAACCCATGGATTAGTGACTCTTTTTCCGGTGTCTTCCATCCAACCCATTCAGCTGGATGATGTTTCCATGTGGCCATGGCCACTAAGATCCAGGCAGCATGCTCTAAAGAATCGATGTTCTGGGTGTAGCACCTGCATCGATGATTTTGGATGAGTAGATTGTCGAGGTGAATCTGATGAGACTCACAAGCGAGAAGTCAAGTAAAAGCATCCAGATAACCAAAAATATCATGTCTATATATATATTAATATATATATATATACATACATACATACACTGTAATATTACAATCAATCAAATCGCTGAGATTGAAGTCAAGCATCAACTCATTAAAAATCGGCTTGATCGAAGTGCAATTTACGCAGGTGAATGTTTTTTCAGCTGAATGTTCCCAACTTGGCGCACTGTTGATCACTTGCTTAGACTCTAACGTTTAGTGGGGTGTGTGGCAGACCATGGCCCAAAAAGCTGAACATCCAGGTGTATGTCTCCAATCCATCTAGACATGTTTTGCCCGCTTTGGCATACCTATTTAATCCTATTAAGTGTGAAAAACGAGAATTGACCAGTCTCCCCTCCGGTGGAATATGTCTTTCTTTTGGTGCCAAATCACCAAACCTTCCAATGGTTCACTACTAGAACGGACCTGTCCATCCCAGTTTCCAAACGCTGTGCCAAGGCATTCAGACTCCATTTTTTAAGGTTTTATGGAACCATGTCGGAATTGCCGTATTAGCAATACATTCCCAATTTTGCATTGGACTACTTCTGTGGCCTTGAACATAAGCCCACATATTTGCCCGCTGCCAGCACTGCAAGTTGTTTGAATTCAATGTGCTGTGCACACCAAGGGTCACAAGCGAACTTCCACAAAATGGGGATGGGTCAAAGCCATCATTGAATTTCCCACCATTGGTGATCATTGGTGGATGTTTACCCCTCCTATTCCGATCTCCGATCATTCCAAAGGTGACCCATCGCATTCTGGGAATGTTCCCTTGCTCCAGCACTGCCACCAGCCATGGGTGAGAAGTGGATAGAACGACAGGACACATCGGCTGCCAACTTTTTTCAGTCCCTACCTGGAGAATCCTTGCAGAAAACGAATAGGTCATAACCCTGCTGATATCACAAGTCCAAGCGGTGTCATCCCAGGGAAGAGCTAGAATAGAAATGAATAGAACCCCAGTCACTCTTTGATCAGTCATGCAGCTGCCCTATCGGTTGTCTCGCCATTGTTTGTTCAACCTCGCGTTTCTAAGTTGTAACTGTTGCTGGGATGATCCAACCACTGCTTCACCGGTTGTGGGGTAACCATTGGCTCAAATTTTTCGGTCCAAAAGATTCCAAAAGCCTGCTGTTTCGTAGCCCAAGTCCGGTATACTCCGGTCATCCAAGCCTCATCAAAACATCAGATTCCAATTTTCCAATCACAGCAGGTTGAACAGCCTACGGGTACTACTCCCATCCCAGATTTGTCGCTTCAGACAGAGCCAAGGCGAACTGCCACCTGCTGCTCTTCTCACAGACGCGCAAGGTGCTCTTGTAGCTCACGCTGTCGGGTGTCACCTGCCCACGGATACATAATATGTATATGCTATATCTATATATATGTATATATATATATATATACACATACACATACACATATCTATATATGTATATATATATATAGGAATCTAAAACTGTATAACATTTAACCCCCAAAAAGAGGTCTTCCAATATGCTTTTCCTCTTGGATCTACATGTTCACCTTCAGCAACTGCATCCCACCTTCAGCTCAGGCATCTCATAGAACAGCAACACGGCACGTTGCCACTGACGACCTTCATCCAAGCAGCTCAGGAGGCAGCTGTGACTGATGGCATCTGGCTGCAACTCCGCCTGAAATGGGGCTTACCCAGCTTGCTTAATGGTGATTCATTGGTGATATAATGGGGATATAATGGAGATATAATGGTGATTAATGGTGATCGAATAAGAATCTAATGGTGATATAATAGTGATTAATGGTGATTATATTGTATAGTGGTGTACTCTGTGTAGGTCTTCGAGATGGGCACAATTTTTAAATCACGCCCCAGTTGAGTTAGCCCAAAAGTACCCTCTGGATCTTTCTGGCAGACAAGCATAGCTCACTGCACAATCTTGGTTTTGGGTAAATCATCTACTTTCAAAGGGCAATGTAGTAAACCTCAAACGACCAAACCACACCTCTTACAAATTCTAGTCCAATACAGTCCAATACACATTGAATACATGTTCATTGTCTTTGAATATGTTTGTTAGGTAAATCAACGCAAAAAGGAAACATTTCTGCCAGATTTTCCCAGATCAAACTTCCCAGCAATCAACCCGGCCTCAAGCATCTGCTGAAAGAAGTGAAGCGCAAGCTCCCAGTGTTGAGACTTCTTGCAGGAACTGATGCTTGCCTTGTCAAAATCTATAGGACACCAGGACTTTTACCCCCAAATATCAATACATCTCGGGATTTCTCCCCGATTTTCCCTACCAATACTGGGAGCGAAGGTTTGGTGGTTGAGGATTCGCAAAAGGGGTGGCTGAAGGAGACGCTAACATGCTTTTTTTTGATGGCGGTCAATTCACCCTGTTTTTAAAGCAAAATAGCTGGTCAATGAATGTCCAAACACTCAAAAAACCTCAAATGAGGTCCTATGCGGATAGTTTTTACATGTTTTTACAATGATGCTGTGTCCTCTAGCAACCTAATGGTGAAATGGACAAAACCCAGAAAAGTGTCCCATTTATAGATGCCATTAGATGCCTTTCCGCGATTGTCCGACTAAAACCGTGGATTCCACATTGCCATATTTCATTCGTACAGGATATCAGGATATCTTCGATCCTTTCCTCGTGAAATCCAACAACCTCAAGTGAATAATTCCAGAACTAATCTATTTGTGATTTGGTTCTGATGTTTCTTCCAACATCCCAATTATTGTCTGATTCTTGGTCTAACGTATTTCTGCAGAACTATTTTCCCAACACCATTCACCAACAAATTAATCAGCCAAGTTGCATTGAATCCAATGACATCTGGAAGAATCCTCAAATGCACATTGTGACATGGGGTCTGCAGCCAAAGTCGCCAATGATGCAGCCCAACTTTTCTTTTTTCTCCCATGTTCTTTCCCCATTTCATCTCACATCAACTCTCTTCGGCAAACCCGTGGTGAGTCTTCACCTTCAACCACAGCTCAACTCTTTGGAAAGCTTGGAAATCACTAATAGATCGAGTAGGTAAGTTGCCATCACTTCCGCAACCTTTGACATATCTGGGATGGTTGATGGGTTTTGGGTCCAAGTTGCGTTGCTTATATCTACACCCATATTTGGAGAATTCAATGATTTCCTACACTAACATTAGTATCGTTATTTGGTCTACCCTCAGCTGCTCTGAGCCACTCTATCTCATAACATGTGTTGAAGGTTCCATTATAAGTTATAACACCCAGAAACATCCATTCTATTCTAAGCACCAGAAGAAACCATTCTGACCCATTCTAAACCCCATTTAAGTTCACATAATCCTTTTTCAACCCAACCCATTCAAACAGCAAAAACCATCAAAAGTATTGTACAATTCCCAAAGGTGTCGATCGAACCGCCCATCCATTAGATCCCCATTAAAACACATTAAAACCTTAGATTCTTAGATCATAGAACCAGCAACTTGAACTTGTGCACCTTAGACTCATCAGAACCTTAGATCCTTAGACCCACATAAAACCCTAGATTCTTAGATCATCATGTTAGTAAACCACCCATATTTTCATGGGTTTATACCACTTGGGGATGGTGGATCCTAAAGCAATTTGCCAAGCCACTCCTCATCTTGCATCTGCTCCAAGAGTTCCGCGGAAATCTGCCACTGTCCATCCTTCGCGCCCGCGCGGATGGTGGCGTTGAAGGTGATCCGGTCGGGCGGAAGCCCTTGCCTTGGCAGTTGAGCTGGGAAAATCTACAGGGATCCAATGGGATCCATGGTTCCATGGCAATTTCTCTGGGAATTTCCATGATTTTCCATGTTGTCTTGTTTTGCAACTCCTGGGCTCCTGGAATTCTTGCCTCAAACCAGCCCGAGAATGGAACTAGCTCTGAATCCTCAAACAATAGCAGAATACATGCCATTTCAATGAGAGTCTGGTATTAATGATACCCATTTTGATTAGTGCTTTGAGGGTCTAGATTATATTTATGATAAGTTGTTTGGCAAAAACTGGACATTGCTTTAAACAAGGCACCTGGAGAAAAAACACTCATTAGCTCTTCTTTGTACTCGAGCGTGACACATTTCTCCATCAACATGTTAGTTAGGCACATCAAGCTACCGAACAAGGTCTATCCTACCCTCTGAGAGCCAACCGCCTAAGATATGGTTGGTTTCTCCATCCCAACACTAGCTGCATGACAAATTCAGAACTCCAGGTGACCCAGCTCAAAGGTCAGGTTTTGCCGAACCCGGCATTATATAATACTTTCCAACCTTTAACAGGATTGCTCCAAACTCTAAACACACCAGATACAAGGGGGGTTCAACTGGGCTGGCCTTGTGGCTATCATTTACCATGGGTTGGAGCAACCCGAGTTGGGGATGGATGGGGTGGACAATTCCTTAGTAGAAAGCACAGCGCCATGTCCTCATGTTGCGGGGACCTTTCGGCATTGCTCAAACTGACAACCCGTGGGGTGCAGCCAGTTTTTGGCTCCGAGACAAGAAATGCCCTGACTGGTCTTCATTGGAACACATGATTAAAGAATGCAGCTTCAACCCTCAAACTGTTCGTTCTGAGAACATGAAACTCCAATTCGCTTTCTCTCAAATATCTTCAATTATCCTGCAAGACCGATTTTTCTTCCTAAAAACCAACGTGTTTTCCTCCAACAAAATTCCACACACAGTCCAGTCCCTGAATCCTGGTGGAGTAACTTGTACATGGATCTCAAGATCTTCAGCGCCATGGCCCACCTGCCGTCCTTTTCACATGCACTGATGGCCGCACTGCAGCTGATCACGTCAGCGGACACCTGCCAGGTGCTTTAATGGCTAGTCATGTTGAATAATATGATATTTTATGTATGCATATGACATATACATAGATACAATCACACACACAAACACATATAATCACACATACATATGTATATATATAAAATAATATAATCACATAATGGATACTTTGGTTAAGATCTTCGCATCTTCTGACTGTTTAGCGGAAGAATGGGCTTGTTTGAGTGCATTGTCCTACGACATCTTACACCTTTTCCCACCCTAAAACCTAACCCTTAGCCAGGCAGTATCTCTTTATACCAGGGATATCATCTGGAGAATTCATATTCAATTCACCGGATTTAAGGTGAGTCTTGCTAAGTTCAAGATTTACAGTTTTCGTTGCATTGCAACCGAGACAACCGAGATCGCTCTGGTCCAAATGTGTTCTCGGAATTTCGAATCTACCCCACCAAGTATCAAGGTTGGTAAGGTCATTTGAAGATTTGCCCGTATGCCCCGTATGCGTTCGCTCCAAACTTTTGTAAACCCAGAGTGTCCGGTTGCTAGGTTCATACCTTCTAATTGCATCTAATTGCATCCTCCATCTTCTTTTCATCATTATAAACTTCATTCACTTTTTCGAACCTAGATGGCCAGCAATGATGCCATCTTGGGAAGAAATATACCCTTGGCACTATTCTGCATGATTCACCCAGAATCGCTGTGGAACATGGATGCTGTTCTCAGCCAGTGGGAACTTGAGGGTCACATTTCTGATGAAATCACCACCTATATAGTGAGTCAAATTCAGTCCTCCCTCTCCACACATTTTCCAATCCACTTAGCAGTTTGACTCAGCATAGCTCCAAACAAATCTGTGGTTTTCCTCTCTTACGACATCTACAGTAGCATCATGGTTGCCATCTATGGGTGGCATCTATGAATCTATGGCTACCCATGACAACACACACAAGTCGTCACCTCCAGCTCCTTCATCTGCCAAAGAAGTTGCAGGGCCATCTGCCATTGCACACCTCTGCCACAACTGCTGATGGCCGCGTTATAACTCACCGCATCGCCCATCGTCTGCTGTCGTATGGCCTGCGGAGATCTTGGGGAAAGATGTGATCCAAAGAAAGTTGGCACATACCCTATACTTCGATGATCTTTGATGCTGATTATATATGATTATATATATATCACAATTTGTCTATCTCTTTGGGCACCCGAATGTACAGGATGTCCAAAAGAACATGGTCATGAGAAAAGAACATGGACGTCTTGCAACCAGTTAAAGCATTCCCAGCCTCTAAGAGAACCAACGCCATCTGCCATTCTCCGCCTTTCTCACATGCACTAATGGCTGCACAACAAGTTACCTCAAGTGCACACTGGAGTCTACTGCTGGTGTTTCACTGAAATCAAGGCATATCAAGTCCTTCCAAGTATATCAAGACGTGAGCGGACGTTTTCCAATCCACAGAAAGAGTCGATGATTCCCAATACAAACATGCTTTGAATGCATTAATTTTTTTTACCACCCAAATCATTCGGTTTTCCTGTCAATTTTCCAGTAGGCTTCAAACCTGTGCGAGGGTTTCTGCAAGCAAGTCACGTAATTGGGCTGAAGGTCAAGCTCCTTCCAGAGACAAAGTGACATCAAGTTGTGGGTGGACTGAAAAGGCCACATCCCTAAGAAACCATGCAAACAATATCAAACAACACAAAGATGCTCCGGATTCCTATGGGTGTGTCTGCAAATGGTCAAAAACACACTTCTTCATGTTCTATCTATTAAACTTTACATATAGAATCACGTGTGTGTGTGTATATGTATTTATATAAATAAATAAATACACATAATCACACACACACACACACTGTATATATGTATATATATATGTATATATATATATATGTATATATATATGTGTATGTATATATGGCAGTGTGTCAAAACCTTGTACCCCTGGTGAACATTAAAATAGTTGGTAAATGGATGGTCATTCCCCTAAAAATGGTATTAATAGGTATTGATCCATACCCATATATATATATATATATCATTATGTAATTAATTTATATATGCATATTGCGGTATACTCCATTGCATACAAATATAGGGTTTGCACCAGTTCGGTCTAGCTCAATTCCAGTAGTACGCCCAATTCCCACAGAACTAAGCCATACGAAGCCCTTGCTGAAGCTAATGGAGATTTGGAACCATGGCCGACCGAGGACGTTCCCGTGGAGTCTCCTGCAGCTCTTCCAAGAGCTTCACAGCGATTTGCCACTCCCCAGCTTTTTCGCAAGCAGAAATGGCGGCACTGAAGCAAATCACATCCGGAGACACCTGTCGAGCTGCGTCCCAAGAAAGAAAAACATGGTGATGAGACACTGCATGTGAAACATAGGTGGAGTTTGGACATATTTGAACGTTTTCTTCGGCAACCTTTTATTTCCATTGGTTGGAGTGAGGTTGAGCACCAGCAAAGTTGGATTTTCAAAGCATATTGTTTGCCCATTGCATGCGCGCATTTCACAACATAAGCACGATGAGACAAGTCACAGTGCTAAAGTTAGTCACATAAAGTAAACAAACATCACTACTATATCATGAGAAATCGTTTTTATGCTATATGATGTGCATGATGTCTATCCATCATATTCCATCACAAAGAATCAGTATTTAATACTTCTGTTTATGTCCCATCATAGCATGTGAAGGACTCTCTTCCACGAAACTAGAATATATATGTATATATATGCTGCTGCTTATTCGATTGGCAAACGTCGTCGGAATGGCCACTTCTCGACCACATGGCAAATGGACCTTCCTTGACCCTCAGTTGATCCATAAATATTGGTAAAAATACAAAAGATATGAAGATATGGGGTAAATACCAAATTGCAAAGGTAAAGTGAGGGTGTAGGTTCAAGTACCATGGGCCCAAACAGGAAGTATCAGCACAACTCCACCTGTTACGGTACCTTTTTTATGGTTGACAGACTCATTTGAAGGCTGATATCACCTCCAAATCGGCATGCCCCAAGTTGGAACCTTGCTGAATCAGTACCCAGATCCGAACAGTGACTCCTACCCGCCCTGCAGCCCAGAGCTGTCTAGATGTCCGTCGCTGGATCTGTTGATGTTTGGAATCCCCCAGCATCTCATGATCAATGATGTCGCTTGTCGAAAGATACTCAAAGGCTGCTTTGGTGTCCCATTTATCATCATTTACTCATTTGTTGTGAAAAACGCTTGGGGATACGGGATATTAATCAACCAACCACCGGGAACATTTATGTCTCTGACCCCAAAAGCCCGTATTTTTGTTAAAAGGGTGTTGAAAACAAAAACTAAAGTGGATCTTCGGAGTCAGCAAATCAGAAACAAATCATGATCATCTTGGCGCTGTTGATCACGCTCGGCAGAACCACCACCAACATCTAGTGGCTATATGCCGTATCCCCGTTTCATTGTACTGAAAACGACCAGTTCTCAAATCTAGCTTTCCACGTCGTGTTTCTGATTCTTGATATTGGCTGCATCTGCATGTCATGGTTTAACCCATCATGTCAACACCCCATGTTGCTTACTCATTTCCCAAGCGATGCACCAGTTTAACCAACAGTCTCCAAAACTTCGGTAAACACACCAGGCAATAGACAATTCCCGAGGTGTGTTCATTTATGGTCGATTTCGCCCCGAAACACGCTAGCTTTTGACTTTCAAGTTTGGTTGCCAGAAGGTAAACCAACATGTGGGGGAAACCACCTAAATTCCAGTGGTTTACACATCATTTTCTCACTTAATTCACAGTTCTTTTTGACGTAACCCGCTTTCCTATTGCCGTCAGGTTATTTAACGTAGCTATGGAGAATCACTATTTTTAATAGGTAAATCATCAAAAAACATCTATAAATTGGTAATTTTCCATGGCTATGTCAAATAAGCATAGGGTATATCGGTATATCATGGTATATCCCCATTAAATCCCTATGGTTGACGATGAATTCCCATTTTTTCATGTCCCTTGGCACCTCCACTCGCAACAGCTCCAAGGACTTCAGCCATTGCTGTCCCTTGCCACAGGCACTGATCATGGCGGATTGCAGAATCACATCGGGCGAGAGATCAGCACCTGCTGCTGGGTTTTCCCATGGTTTTTCCCATATCTTCCCATCATGACTTCGATCTTCCGGGCGGGTGGCATACATCGATAACATCGATGAGCAAAAAACGAGTTTTAGCCGGTGATGGAAAAAAAGTTTTTCAGCCACTTTTTGCTGTGCATTTGACCAACTTTACCACCAGTTTAGGCAGTTTAGGGTTGGAACTTGGAACTGCTCGGAAAGTGTGAAACATCCCAGCTATAGTAACTATATTTGAGTAGTCGGGGGTCGGCTACAGACTGTGAACCTCTGTAATCATTAAACATACAAAAGAAATACAAAAAAAATACAACTCCAAATTACAAAAAAATACAACAATGATGAGGAAAAATCATCAACAAAAGGAAAATACAACATACATTGATGGATGCGCGGTTTTGTTCTTTGACGGCATGTCTAAAGAACGAAAACAAAAAAAAAGGGACAAAGTGCAATCTGTGAAGGACTGGAAAAATACAAAAAACATACAAAAATACAAATTGCATTTTTGGACGTAATGGATAAAAAATACAAAAATACAAAGTGTATGGTTTTGGATGGTTTTGGGCTATTTCGACGATCCAATGGAAGTTTTGGAATTCAGGATTGGTACTTGGGAGAAAGTGACACATTGGGCTGCCTGGATGTGTCAAATAGCCCTTCATCAAACTGGCAAGCCTTGGGCCCACCCAAACAAAACAACCAGGATATAGTACATCGACTTATCGTATCATAGCTATCGTTGTATGATGTTCTATGGGTAGGGGTGGCAATTGTAGCATTCGTATTCAGTTTCCGGAAATATCAAGGTGTCAAATTCATATCCAATGGAGGCGTAGCTGGAACTCTCACGGGAACACCACAGGGGATTGCTATATTGCTGGGTGTTCTCCTTGTGGCTGGATAGAACATGGAAAATGGATTGAACATGGTAGAAGTAATTACCCCTGGACTAGGCAGCAAAATCATGTCTGTTGGCTGGATACGTCCCCAAGTTGGGAACGACCAAACAACATTGCTCTATTCTTCGGGCAAGACCCTTGTGTGTCCGGGCTGTTGAAAAGGGATATCGTATACACTCTTAGAGGCACCAAATCGCAGATTAGTGGAATTTCCAAGAAGTGCATTGAGGGCAACCTCAAAGCAAAAAGACCCAATGTTGACAACACCCACCAATTTCACAGAATTTACCCCATGGGCCAAGCCCAACAATATTTTCCCAGTTGAAATTGGTTTAACTTTACTAACCCCCTTTCTTTGCTTATCTTTACAACCTCCCAACATGGTTTTCGGTTTCTGCTGATTTCGGCCCAGGAACTGCACATCTTCTCAAAGAGGCGCAAGGCTTCTGGCCACTTGGCGGCCTTTTCCAGGGCGCTCATCAAGGTGCTGTAGCAAATGAGATCCTGGACCAAAAGTCCCAAGGGTCCCAAGGAAAGTGCTGGGGATCGTATTCCAACATTTAAGGGGATAGGAAACACAACTGGATCATACTGGATCCTCAAAGTAGCAGAAGCTGGGTAAACACACCAACATGTTGAAACATGTTGGGGTTCAACGCAATTGTATTCTGGCATCTGTATGCTGCCGCGAACTCTCACCAAGGGGTTAATCTGCAGGGGAAACATGAATTGATTTGCTGAGAATCACCTGTCCTTCAATGGATGTTTCCCAAACATGGGCCTGTCTCCGCCAAGAGCGAAGCCACAAAGTGACTGGTTTCAAGATGTTTCAAGTCTTTGACATATCCATTCTTTCGAGACCATTTTGCTTGATATGATATGCTGCTATTGATGGTTTTCGATTCAATTTCCCCATGTTTCTTCGTTGTGAAATGGTGGATGAATCTGATGAATCTCACTGCCTTCAGGACATGATATCCAATGGACTAATGGACCCACCACGCCACAGAATCCATGAGACAACAGAAATAAAAGGCAGGACACAGCATGGCACAAATTCCTCCATCAAACATTTGAAAGATCATCCTTTGACCTACCTAGCCAAGATCGACCAAGATTTATCCAGATACTACGTGGTCGTTCTCGTCTATTAATTTCTTATAATTAACGATCATCCAAAAAGGCTCATCCTTTTGGTCATTTAGCATAGGTGGCACACCCAGAATCTGCCATGCGTCTGGCTTGTCTGCGGACGCAAAGACTTGCAGGGCCAACTGCCACATCTGTGCCTTTTCCAAAGCGCTGATGGCTGCGGAGTGGCAGACCACATCACGGACGATCAGTAGTTCGGGCATCTCCTGACATCAGGAAAACCATGGGTTCAACCCGAAAAATGATGTTACTGGTGGTGATGATGCTGCTGGTGGACAAGAAATCGTTGTGCCAAGTTAGTTGTTGCCATGAGGTATGGCTCACAATGAGGCACCATCCTGTAAAGCAACAGGCTGATAAACTTCCACTATTTGCTGCAGGAAAATGGGGTGACCCAAAACCAGAGGAAACCACCAAATTTGCATTCAGAAATCCAAGATCCTTCTGTGGAAAATTGTAGTTTTGTAAAGTTGAAACTCAGCGACTTACAGTTTTTGCATGCATTTGCCTTCAAAACAATTGGATTTTTCGACCAGCCCTCGCAGGTTCCCAACCCGAACAGCTCCTGATAAAGCTCCCATGCTAATTGCCATTGGCCAGCCCGTCCACAAGAACTGATCAATGCACTGTAGTTGAAAGCATTCGGAGAGACCTGCCATGGAAAAGCACATGGCTTTGTCCAAAAGTGGGGAATACCGCAAAATTGCTGTCAATTTTTCGAACCTGATGATAAACCACTGGATCTTGTAGAATTCTTGAAATACCCTCAGATGAACTCTTGGCCTTGCCATCCATGCGCAGGCATTGAAATCATGATTTCTTGGGAATCCTTCCGATGCCTAGCGTTGCCGTCAACATGGGGCATGGCGCAAGAGATTGATCAATGCTAGATACGGAACAGTATTAGGAGCCAAAAATGCTCAGCCATACCCCACCGATGTCTGACATAGATCCATGCAGAAAAAAATCGTTTATTTCAAACCTGGCTGGTCTGGTGTTGTCTGAATTGACGAAAAGGTATGTCAAGCATCTAAGGTCCAACATGCGCTCTGAGATCAAACAACATCTAATCTATTATATATATATATATATATATTCCTGTTCCACAACATGACACATCAAACACATTGTATGATCCATGTTGATCCATGTTGATCACTGATCATTCCACATCTCATCTGTTCTCGTAAACACTTACAAACACCACTCAATCAACATCTCAACCATATCCATCCCCAGCATTTGTAGGGCTGGGCATGACATATTCCACGATGAAGATATCAACATAAAACCATTCACCAACCATTCATGCGATTTACATCGATTTACCAATTGACCCTAGTATATTCGCGAAATACAGCCTAATATGTGCTGGATTCAATTCCATGTTCTGTGTGTAACTTCATGATTAGACATCATTAAACATCATGAAACCATGTGATAACCTATGACAACCTCCAGTTTTCCCAGTGGTTCCCAGCGGTTTCCGCACCTTCATGACTTTCATGGAGCTCAAAACATCCAAGGCATCTCGCCAGAAACTCCGCCTAAACGACAACGCCAGTGATGCTTGGGATCCCAATGTTCTTTTTCCTAAGGTTTTTGACGACAACAACAGCAACTCAACGTGAGATCCAAGTGGAAACACGGACCAAACAGCATGCAGCGATGCAGTCAGGGGGAGCATGTTGACAGGTCTTTGGTAGCAGCTGTCAAGAATTTTGAAACGGCTTGGTTTCTGAAAATGACCAGTCAATCTGGTCTTCAAGGTTCCTTGATTTTCAATTCATGCCCATGTATCTATCTGAAACAAAACAGTGATGTGTCGAAATTCACCCACTTGAAATGTTTTGGTCGACTCTACACCATGGAACATGGACCAAAGTCTTACGCCCTATGTTATCCATGTTTTTCAATCCATCTGAACATATTTCTTACAGCACAAATAAGCAACTAGAGTAAATTCACCTAAATCGATCTAAATAGTGCATCAAATTGAAAAAAACAAAGATCTGGAGATATGGCTACCAGTATTGGTCAAAACTCCGGCACCCTTGTCTTCATACCAAAAGAGCTGGGATTTGTGGATGTTTATGCACCCCGATTTACGTAAAATTAGAGGTTTTGATCCATCCCCATATCTATAGTAAGACCATCTATATCCATCTATTTTTTACAATATGATACTATGAATATAATTATATATATATGTATATAGAGAATATCTGTACTATGTATAGTTAACACCTGCCATATCCTGGGCATGTCCTGGCAATGTTTTAAGATCACCATGACGTGACTGTGACCGCCTGGCACATCCCGAGATGCTCAGGGAGAAGCTCTGCAGCTGCGCGTCCGAGTGTGCACAGATTTCCTGCGACTCCAAGCCGATGTGGGAAAGACCATGAAATTGGATGGTTAACCAGGGTAAAATACCCACATTGATGGGTACACACCATGAAAACTATCTTCTTTCTGGCATCTATTCTGGCATTCAATCTGCCATTCTTTCTGGCGTTCTATCTGGCATTTATTCTGACATTCTCTCTGACATGGCCCTGCCGGACCTCGACCGCGAGCGCCAGATCTATTCCGGCAGTGCTCACTGCGATCTGGAGCTTGCGGTTGAGGTCCGGCAGCGCCCACTGAGATCTGGAGCTCGCAGTTGAGGAAGGATGAAGAGGACGAGGAGAAGGAGGAGGAGAGGAGGAGGAAGGAGCAGAAAGTAACTCTGATAAAATCTAGAGACCCTCACCTGGCGGCAAGGACTATATGGGACTCAGCAGCAGCTGTTCAATCTGTCCTTGTTCAACACTGTCAGAAAGGCTCCCAGGATATCGCTTCGCTTCTCATACAACAGGTGCTTGATCAACTTCTGAGCCTTGAAGGCCGCGGTTGTTTCTGATCAGTTCCGGAAAAGTCTTTGCAACTTGGGTCAGCAGGGAACATGTTCATCCCGGGAATGGATTGTTGGTTAGAGTGATGGTTGGAAGTTATATGGTGAAGTACCAGAGGCTGTTTGAGATTCCTGAGTTACAGTTGACTTTCCAATTTTGGATATTGGCAACTTACTAACTGCCATCAATGTATTGTCATTTGTTCTGAATCCAAATGACTAAGACATTCCCTGTCATGAACCCATGAACTCATGAGACAGACAAACAACTTATCATTGATTGATCTTACAACCAACATCAATCAAACATCTATTGGTTAGTATTTTTTCCGTTAAAATGAACCCACGTCACCCATAAAGCCAACCGTACCCAAAAATGCATTATCTATAGTGGAATAAACATGATCGCACAAATGGTACAGCTTATACCCAATTTAGCCGAAATACACATAGTCACACACCTGAATTAAGGTCATTTTGCTCTTTGATCCCCCCAAGCATCATCTACGGTTTACGTGAGGTCAGTGTAAATCAGACAGTCCATTTATTCCGGATAAATTATGACAATTCACCAACCTGAAAAAAGGTCACTTAGGTAAATCATATCACCATTACTAACCGTTACATTTCCATTCATATCCCACTAATGAATGAATCACGGAATTGATAGCAGTAGTCTATCTCATTTGCTAATATCCAATTAATATTCCATATCCCATTGATACTAATGGCATTTCATTTACATACACACATATAATCATAGTATCCTTGGGGCCCGGAAAACGCACCGAACCCATACATATATATATAGAATAAGTCGATGAACAGCGTCACCACTGGGTGGCAGCGCCTGGTCTCTACTGAACGCCTCTGTCGAAGTCTGATCCAGGAGAATCTGAACCTCCTGGGATATCAGCCAATTTCAACCAAAACAGCGGGATAAAATCCAAGCTTTTCAATATACATATGTATATATATATATATGAGATTATATGAGTGTGTGTGTGTTTGTGCATGATGTATGTATATACATTCACACATTTAGACACATCTTTTATATAGCACGAACAAATCCTCAATGAACCTTGCAAACCATACTTTCACCAAGATTGACCCCAAAAATGAAGGCCAGAAATTGTGCACCATGGTCCCGGCCATTTCTGTACATGGGCCAGTCACTGATCATCAGGGATAGTTGGTGAAGCTGCAAGCAGTTTTGGGGGTCCACGCCCTAAAAAATGGACCCGCTACGAGGCAAAAACCAATCAGCTACATTTGGCATATTTCAATACTTTACAAATTATTTTACATACACCAGTCAGTACTGTTTCTGCTTTTCTTCTAGTTCCTGCTTCTGTTGATGTTATCTTTGATGTTTCCAGCTCCCCATGACCGGACCGATGAAATTGAACCATCCCCCATGACTGGTCCTTCTGACTGGGGAAGCGCGGAAGCTTCAGCAAGGCCTTTTTCAAACCTGCGGCTACAACAGGAATGCATGAAGCGATTGACCCGAAAAATCGCCATTGAAAATGGTCATGTTGCCCTAAGATGTGATTTTTCAAAAAACTGGTTTCGGTTAGCACAAATTGGAGGCCCGGGTCCTATAGGCACTTCTAAGATTGTAAGCAAGGGGATCTGTGCCGAGATCTATGCAGCTAACCTGTGATGGACATGCGCCAGGTGTGCAAGCGTGTCTTTGTGAGCATTTGCATTCCTTAGTTGTACTCCGCAAAAGACTCACTTGCAGCGGGATTTCACGTTTTTTCATGTCCTCCATTTCTGGATCAAAATGAATCTACCATTCATCTCGCAGTTGAGTTTCCATTGCCATGATCTCAAGTTGAAGCCATGGCAACGCAAGCGATTCCTTCTGGATCTATGGCGATGAAGCCCAAAGATATGGCCTCTTGAGCCAGAGACCATGATTGCATGCGACTATTTTTGCAATGTTGATATCCAGCATTTGCTGGCCCCAAATCTGAACATGCTCGGAAAAACATCAGGCTGCAGTCGTACCCACAGTGACCATCATGATTTTTGGCACATTGAATATCCAGAAGAAGCGTTAAGATGATGCAGATTCATCTCAAACCATCCTGGTCGTTGCATGCATTCCGCCGTCAAACAGTTCATTCTCAGATATTCATCATGGAACATGATTCAAATTCCTGCACCAAAGTACGACAAAAACCATTCATCAGGAACAGTTCAGCAAATTATGTGGGATATCCTGCTCAAAGGCCAGATGGCTACATTCCCCACTTGAGCAGTACACCAAACCCTTGGTTTGATGGGGAGGATCATTGCCCATTGTGGGAACCCCTACTTAGGAGTCAATCAGTAGAGTCCCTGGAAATGGCATGACATGGCTGCATCCCCTCTCACGGCCAAGCCATTTTCCTCAGCAATCCAATAGACAGAGTTTCAGAGAGACATGACTGGATAAATCGTGTATTCACCAAGCTGAAACAAGACCTTTTGGGGATAGTTACTCTTACTAACCAGCATTTACAAATATCTACAGAGATGTCGCAGCGAGGTCGCTATAATTCATCCTGATATATCTTTATATTCAATTCATTTTCAGATATTCTCACTCTAGTAATCCCCAAACAGATGCCGAAAAGTGTTTCCAGGATGTTATAGGCGATGTTTCCATCATTTCCAAGGATTAAAACTTTTTGGCATCTTTTTGCAGGTTCCTATCTATCTATCTAATCTAATCTAATCTAACCTAACCTAACCTAACCTAACCTACCTACCTACCTACCTATCTATCTATCTATCTATCCTCATCTATCGATATATAGGGGTTTCTCAAAATGGGGGATCCCCAAGTCAACGTGAGCTTACTAAGTCATGGTCATCCATGGATGACAACTAGGGGTACCATGACTTTGGAAACCTCCATATATCCCGTTGGATCACGGCCAGAGCCTCTGCAAGATGCCTTTGTCACTCAGCAAGCGGATGAAGTAATGACAAGCCCTAGGCGGCGTCGCAGATCCACTTTGCTTCAGCTTCGACCCGAACTAAATGACCATCCAAAATAGGTTCTTTCACTGACTTAGACCTCAAAATGTCGGTGGTTTTCCATTCAATTTTTGTGCTTGCTTCGAGTATCTAAGTCCAGACAAGTCAAGAAGCATGTGAGGAGATGAGCTATAGACTATAGACACATAACCGGTAAAACTAGATAAAACATCTGAGCAAGAATGACAAATGCAAAAGGGTATGTTCAAAAATAGGGTGCCCGGTACCCCATATTCCCCATTGCAATTGCTCAGCCGAGCCACGTTGGAGCATAGTTTCCAGGCCACATCTCCCGGCAGAGTTCATAGAAGGCATCCGGATGCTGGCACGGGGAACCAGCATGGCTCAGATAGACAGAGACCTATTGGGGACCAAAGATAAGGATCATCATTAGAATATATCAAAATAGTTTTTGCAATAGAAACAGGTTGAGATACTTTACTTGGGAGCCTGTAAAGAGCCTGCAAAGACCTTGGGGTTCGACTCTTTGATCTTCTATGTACTTGCTGCAAACGCTGGCGCAATGTTCCGTCTCAAAGGACTTTGCCCCAGCTGATTTGTCACTGGCAGGAACTCAGGGAGGTTCAACATTTCACATTGAAGAGGTTTCCGAAGCTTTCCCAAAAGCCCGGCTTCTGGCAAATGCAAAACCATAGCGGCCCCTACAAAGCTAAGAAGCGTTGATGACTTCCGGGACGCTCAAAGTATTGACTTTAACCATACCTAACGTCCTCTCACTCTCCCAAAAGGGGCATGAGATGGCATGAGCAAAGTGCAAATGAGTGAATGGATCTGGTGGAATTATACCATATAACTCACCCGAAACAGGCGATATTGGGATGACGCCCCTTCACAATCTACAGTGACTGATATGCTTCAGAACTAGGTCATCTTCGTGGCTGAATGTGAGGCCCCAAGGCCGTTGCTGGTAGCTCATGGACCTTCGTCCCCCAACCGGTCCATGAAGAAAAAAACATGAAAACCAATCGGACCTATCCCCAGTTGAGTTTGAAAAAACATTTTCCCTCCTTCTTTCTGGATCCTGCCTTCTGGAAGTAGGTCAAATCGAAAATCGCTTCGGCTTCAGGTAAGGCAAAGCCTTGGGAAACTGCGTGTCGTGAGATTGGAAAGTCCACATGTCCAAGGCCTGTGCTCCCACCTCGACTCTTGAAATACTCATACTAATTTTGCCTACCCCGTTTTTGTTTCCTGAGGTCACTGAATGACTCAGTATTTAAATTTGACTGTCATTGAGAAACACCCCCATTGATTGGGGTTATAGCCTCGGTTATAGCCACATTTGGACCAGGTGGGGCACTGCCCTGAGCAATGAGGCTGTAATGAGGCTGTGTACTGAGGCCATAATGAGGCTGTAATGTGGCTGTGATGGGTACCATGACATAATCAACAAACTTGCAATAGTGACCGACAATCATTGAGTCGAAATCTGATATTTCAATTGCTGACAGGTAAACAACATTAAACATCATTAAACAACATTACACAACATAAAACAACATTAAACACGTTTAAACAACATTAAACAACATTAATCTACATTAAACAACATTAAGCAACAAACAATATAATTTTGGATATTTTGAGCAACAACAATTGATTAGGACATGAAGCAACCATATCATCGAACAGAGTAGCACCGATCCTTGGTTCCTCGCCGGGTTTCTGGGCGGTGCTGATAGACGAGAGAAAGGATTATAGGGACATGATGGGTCCATCAATGACTGTAGGGGAATTATTGTTAGTTAATTATAGGGAGTCAATCATGTCATCATTATAGGGAAATACCTCACTAATGAGGTTGAAGAGTCAACTCCTATATGCCCAAGGAGCTGGGTCCCTATTTCCAACACTTTCCAACTCCGTACGCTCCATCTTTATGGGAGCCACAGAGCTCCACCTTAAAGCCGACCTGGCCGCGACGACCCCGACCCCTCTGGGCCAGCCACGTTGCAGGTTGTGGTACAAGCCCGTCCCAGGTGACCTGCGGGAGATGTCCATGGATGTTGTTTGAATCTTGACCAAAAGTACCAGGATGAAACACTCATTTGAATCGTTTGTTTCATTTGAATTATTTGTTTCTCGTGTGGTGTTTCAGGAACCAACAAATGAGACACGGGTACCAGTCATCTGAGTCATCTGCAGTATCTTTTTGGGGGTTTTGGACACCATCCCTGAACCATTCCACTTAGTCTTGGTGGGTACTTGCGATCCCAAACCGGATCTGATTTCTTGGGATTGAACCTTCAAACATCAAAGTTGAGATTCTAAACACACCAAATTCGTACCATTTATAGCAATTCCACTGCGGGTACCCCACAATGAACCATGGGGACTTGAACCTGACAATGGGGAGAATCAGCGATGGACTCCAGACCCTGTACATTGCCATCGTGTTTTGATACACCAAGAAATCACAACAAAACTAGAGATATGTACATTGCCGTGCATTGCCATACATCGCCCCATCATTTTGGTATTTTGAATCATTCGGATGTATTTTACCACCCCAACATGAGATCTGGTAAGAATGATGATTGGCACATTCTCATACTTATTTTCAGGGTGAAACAGTCTAGTCTACTCCCGACTTGTATTTACATCCCAAGTAGTAATTGATTCATACATACGGCAAGCTGCCTAGTCCAGCTACCCTTCCTGAGTCTCGCGCATCGAGTGGCAACTTATTGGGGTACTTTGAGACACACCCATATATATATATATATATATAACATATGCTTCCTCAATTATTCATGTGTATTGTTATGTGTGTATGTATATATATTTCTATATGCATATCTATAATGTGATATATATATACATAAATATGTATAGCCATATAATGATACATATCTCAATGCCCGGGTCCATTCAGTCACCATGGAAACTGGCCATTTATTCATTTATCTATGGGTCTGGTCAGCCATCCCAATGGCACCCATCTATAGCCCATAACAGCCATTCCCAAATATGGCTTTGTCTGATACCCGTCCAATATTTAAGGTACAAGTATCACAATTTCAAACGAAAAAAAAACATACATCAACAAACATCTGAACTGAATTAGAATAGACTAAACTGCATCAGCAAACATGAGTCTTTTATTTTGGCTAAATGATCATTACATTCCGTTTAACTAAATGATGATCAATTTTTGCATTTTCCCGTCATGCGCGCGCCTGAAATCCGGGATTCCTGCACTGGTGGAGATGCCAGCGCCACAGAGCACAACCACCTGTCGTGCCTCGGCTGGACATGGGATGGGGATAGCACGGGGAGAATGATTTGGGAGTTTGAATTGGGATTTAATCATCAGCCAAGGGATGACAAATGGGATTAAATGGGGATATCATAGGATATGTAACCAACTGCACATATCTGCACATGATTTGCGCGTGTGCGTGCGTTGAAAAGTGGATATATCCCTGTTTTTGGCAGCTTTTTAAGAGGGAACCTGATAAACCCTGGGCTTTTGGGGTATCCTTGGCTCGGACAAGCTCATTTGAACACTGACACAGACACATCATCTATCCAGTAAGACCAAGAATTTGGCACAATGCAAGGGTGTTTGTGCCAAGTTCTAGTTAAAAGGAGAAAGGCATGGGTTGACGAACTTTCCTCATGTCACTTCGATACGCAAACCTTGGGACATGCCCATCATGTGAACATCTGTAGAGGTTCCACTTCCAAGGTTTTGTTTGGTCCCTAAGCACAAGACCAAACTGTGGTCGAACATGAACCTCTCAAGCCAACCAGAAATCTGCAACGTACCAAAAAAGCCTTCCAAAAAGCAGTTCTGCAACGAACCAAGGGATACCAAGGGCCAGACGTGGTCTGCGATGTACCTGGCATCTCTCCAGATTTGAAGCTTGCAAAATCTCATCAGTAGCCTGGTTTCAATGTCGATTGGATTCGATTGGATCATCCGTTTGAATGTTCATGGTGGATACTTTATGATACTTTGTGGATGTTCAATGATGTTCATTCATCGATTCCTCTGGGAAAATAGCAGCTGGGCTCCCCTGCTGCGCGATGCCATCCAAATCTCTCGAGGCTAACCTTCCCACTTCACCTGGCGCGTTGGTTCTCGAATCCAGGACTTTGATGACCGATTTCGAACAGAACTGCTGTTCCGGCTGGCCACAAAATTGTACCCTCTGGTAAACGAACATAGCTATGGAAACTCACCATTTTTAATGGGAAAATCAACTATAAATAGCCATTTTTAATAGCTATGTTAGTTTACCAGAGGGTAATCTTGAGAGCTTCAAAAGACAGAAATCTATTGACATCCAGAATCATCCAGAGGTGTACAATAGGGTATGGCACCCGAAGTCAGTGTAGGTCGTAGGCGAATCCCATGACCCATCAAAGCAGCGAAAGTATCCAGCTAGAATCACTCAAGTCGCTTTCATGTCCCAAACAGTTCAGGAGATGGTTTCCAATAGACAGAACTACCCAGTGATTTTCATATATTTTCATGCCAGACACTTTCTGGTTATGGGGGTATCATCCATCCCTGGGTTCCTAAATGTTCGCCCACTTTTTCGCCGGCCGACCTTGCTCATGATCCTCAAGGATCATGGCCGGCATTGCTCAGCTGTAACGCAAATCACTGTTGCAGGTCGAGTTTGGGGGCAGTGCCTATAGAATATGTCATGAAGCAATGGGCCTGGTTGTACATGCGTTTATAATTTAGAGTCCCAAGCAAGTTTTAGCTACATACATCAAAATAATTCTATATATCTATATATATATAATATATATATACCCACATTATGAGCAGTGGCAAGCGCATCTATATCTGGTAGTGCCCATGTTGCCAGACTATCGGCTGAGCATTTTGGGATATTTTGGGGCTCTGGGGACAACTCGGACTCTGCCTGGCTTGTCTCCCCCTTTGAGTAGAGTTGAACATAGTTGAACATAGTTGAAACGAGTCGTTGACATCAAGTGACAAGTCATGAATCCTCCTTGATCCAATCAGTTCTTGGACGCCCATCTTCCGAAAGCTTGAACACACAGCCACAGCAGCTTTGCATCCAAACATGCAAACATGGGCTACTGAAGACGTCAAGGCTAACATCAGGAAAGCAGTGCAGAGATGTGGCATGCTCCTATCAATCTTGTTGCTTTGCAAGGAGATTCTCCACTGTAAGATCTCAATCTCCATCGACTGCCTCTTATATTCAAGATAGAGGCAAACTTCAAGGAACTCTGTGTCCACAGTTAGAGTGTATAGGAGTGTTACTACCCCAACTACAGTAGCAGTTTGCGCCATGAACACCAATCTTGACTCCCTGCGATCTTGTTTCCCATGTCAAACTGATACACTCAAGGGCCGATGATGATCTCAGATGATTCCTGAGCGCTGGGTAGCATCCGGAGG